TTCTTGCTACATCAGAATTTCAGAGGATTATTTTTGTCAAACCCAGTGGTTTTTTATATTAAATAGTCGATTATAATTTATAATGTAAAACTTTTTCCTAATAAAGAGTATTTTATATCTAAATTTTTTAAGTAAACTTTTTAACTCATATATATAAATAAATTTTTTTGCAAAAACACATCTTGTTGAACTGCTGGGAATGTTATGATTTTAATAAAATGGCATAATCTGGACACCTTTAGTAATGCAGTTTTAAGTACCAGCTTTATTCTTAGACAAGTTCTCAAGTGTTCACAGGCCTAAGTTAAAGGCCAGTGAATATTCTTATAAAAACATGATTTATCTCCAAGGTGGAAAAGGGCTGTTAGTCTGAGCAGGAGAGCAGCAATACAAGTAAAATACAGCTGCACAGTAACTAGTAGGGAACCAAATAATTTATTTCATGATTCACATTCAACTTTCTTGCTAACTGCATGCCAAGTCACAGTTTCAGAAAGGTGTACACAAACTAGTGCCAGCAGCATTGTCCTGTCTGTGCACCAAAGGGACTGGGTCTGGTTTGAAGCCCCAGGGACAGTGGATTCCTGCATGGGAAGCCCCATCTCCTCTCGATATGCCCAGCAATGACGGCACAGGAGTGGGACACGAGGAGGACATTAGCCAGAAGAGGAACACAAGGAGAGTCATTCCTTGTCCTCCCATTCAGCTAAAAACTGAAGCAGCTCCAGCCATCATCTCACTGTACTGTCAAGGAGACGAGTATTTACATCATATCACAGATGGTCTTGTTCATTAGTATAGTGAGAAAACGACTACACTCAGGAAGTACCCATCAGGAGCTTCCAGCTCTTGTCTGGTCAAGAAATGGTGAGAGGGACACCCACATGCACTCATGCTACACACGCAGTTTATTATGGGTTATCAGCTCTCTCGCATGCAAGCACCTTCATGGACAGGAAACCTCAGTAGATGGGCTTGACATGGATTTCAGAACACTCCATCAGATGAGTTCAGACCCAATCCTCTCACTTGAAATTATTTCTTATTCTATATGTGATTCTAACGTTCATTGAACTACTGTGGAGTACAATTGCATTAACCATGTGTGAAGCCATAAGCTGTCAATCCCAAACGGTTAACAGTCACAAAAAATACATTTTTGATTGTTGCAATAAATAATTGCTCCCAGAGAGAGAGGTGTAGGATGAATTTCCTTAGAGAGGTGAAACAGCAATATTTATGAACTCATTATCTAGGCATAATACCCAGAATTTGGAAAAATTGACGGGATGCTAATGAAGCTCTCCAGTTAAACACAAAACAAACAAACAAAAAACAAAAACAAAGAAACAAAAAATACCTAAATAAAAATTAGCATTAACTGTGAAAAAAACAGAATGTTTTACAAGAAGTAGAGCAGCTGGACCATAATATTCCCTTCAGCATCTGGGTAGTACCATACTACAAACAACAAACAATAACAAGAATTTAGCTGCATGGGAAAACTGGAAAACTCAGACACTGATCACATTCAGTTTGTATACATCTAAAGAGCTGTATGCAGCTCTTTACTGGAATCTTGATCTAAAGACAGTCATAATTGTTCATATATAAAATTATGAATGTGTAGAATAATCAAGGAAAAATCTGTAAAGCAACAGTTTGGAAAACTTAACCACTGCAGAAAATAAAATGGAAGGACAGAAGGAGGGATGGAAGAAAGGATGGAAGCAAACCACCACGTTCTGTCATTCTTGATTACAATTTTGTTACCCACAGACTTACAAGTGGGTTTAATCGCAAATTTATTAACTAAAGTCAGAATTTAAAATACCAAAGATAAATAGCTATAAGTGGGATGCAGTTCCAGTATGAACTGAATAGAGCTGTGTGACAGAGAAACAGGGAAATACCTAAGTCAGTTACTGCTGATTTTTGAATAGTCATGATTAATGCCACTGATCTACCTGACTAATACTGAACTTCCAAACCAGTGTTGGCAAATTGAAAAGAATGCCAAAATGAGCTACATGAGTGATATGAGCTCTGGGAAAATAATACAGCATGGAGCTCCCAAGGCTCAGTCTGCTTTTCTTATCCAGGAGATATAAAGAACTTGAGCATGACATAGACAGTATTGCTATGTCCCTCCTCTCAAAATCAATGTAAGCAAGACAACCACAGCCTCTGAATCTGTGCAACCTTTCACTGTTTTTTTTAAAAAGGGAATATCTAGCAAATGCATCACATGCTGAGCTCTTTTTAACTATTTGCAAACAAAAATTTTAAGAAAGTGCTTATAAAATGGGTGAGACAAGAACGTAGCTCTTCAGCTAAACTGCTGTTCTCAAATTAATTCCATGCCTGCAGCACAACATATACCTCAGCTCCCCCGCACCTCACTATCACCCTCTCACTCTCATTTACACCTTACTGTCCAAGACACAATTTTTCCTAACTGCTGGCAGACAAAAGATTTGCTTTACTGCCATTTCCTTCTACCTGCTTCTCAAGAAAAATCTGAATTGCCACTACAGTGCTAGTACTGGTGCTCATTGTTCAGGGTTTCACACTACACATGACTTTTAAATAAAAAAGGTCACTCTCCCAAGTGGCAATTGGGTGCACCATTGACTCAGTTCATTACCCAGCTGTAATGACTCATGGTACAAACCACAACAATGACACAAGGATGCACTCAGAGCTGCACATCTTAATGGTACAGAGCAACTGTTTGGAGTGAGAGTTGCTTCCCAAACTGGATGTTAAATCCTGACTCCGGCAAGGTCCACTCCTGCCAACTCTCCTAAGAACAAGGCACAAGCACATGAAACCTGCCCAGGTAAGAGAATATTTTATGTGTTTATCATGCAATAGATAAGGAAAAATGCTTTAAAAGATCCCTTCCCCATCTACACCTTCTTCCTCTTCAGAGTGACCTACAGCAGATTCATGAAGAGCAGAAGATGGTCAAAGGGCTCTGACTCTCTCCCAGTGCAGACAAAGGTGTCTGAGAGGGATGGGCAGGTCCTGAGGGAGGAAGGAGCATGGCACAAGACTTTTCAAAGGAGAAACAATTGTGCCAAAAGGTATCTCAGAGCCAACACCTCCAAACTTTTCACTCATTTCGTTTTTGTAATTAAAGGCTAGGGTGACACTGAGGACAGATTCTGAAACGTAAACTCCCTTTTAGTTTTAAGTAGATTGAATTATATCAAAATGAAAAGCACCAATTTGCTTCTCCTGGGGGAACATGTTGTTTCCAGAGGAAAATGCACCATAAATATGTTCATTGGTGCCAAAGAGTAGTACCAAACTGAAGATGGAAACATTGCTGGAGTAAAAAGTGGCTGTATTTTGAACCATCATAGAATCACAGAACCATAGAATGGTTTGGGTTGGAAGGGACCTTAAAGATCACTAGTTCTACCCTGTCATGGGCAGGGACACCTTCCACTAGACCAGTTTGCTCAAAGTCCCATCCAACCTGGCCTTGAACACTTTCAGGGATGGGGCATCCAAAACTTCTCTGAGAAACATGTTGCAGTGCCTCACCACCCTCACAATAGGGAATTTCTTCCTAATATCCAACCTAAACCTAATGTCTGACAGTTTAAAGCCATTCCCCCTTGCCCTAACACTACATGCCCTTGTGAAAGGTCCCTCTACAGCTTTCTTGTAGGCCCCCCTTTAGGTACCGAAAGGCTGCTCTAAGGTCTCACACTCCCTAGGGCTGCCTTTTGGGGAGTAGGGGTGGGCACTAGTACTCCTGGCCCTGCCTACTCTCGTGTGAGCTGCCAGTTCCTGCTGGGTCTTGGCACTCCCCTGGGGCTCCCCTGGCTCAGGGAACACCCCTTGTACACTGCAGTCTTCTGCTGCTCTGTAGCATATGCCTGCACTGGAGGTGATCATGTCGCTGAGTTGAAAAGAACCCAGAACTCAATATGCAGTTACCTTAAGAGTCTTTCAGAAACTCTGGCCCAGTCTAGGCAGCAAAATTGAGCTGGAGTTTCTCAAGCTGCATCCAGACCATCTAAACTATAAATTTGGCACCCACAGGCAGAATTGAGGCGTCCAGAGAGATTGGGATTGAGTATTCTTGGGTGTTACCTCTTAAAAACCCTGAAAATTAATGAATTCCTTCACCTAGGGCAACATATTTCAAAGGCACACACACAGGCTTTCAAGCCTTAAGCAAGCCTTAATGTTAGCAATAAATACAAGTACTCTGGCACATAAAAGCTGGAACCCAAGTTCACACCAAAACGCTTTCCCATAATTCAGGGACAAGCAATGAGACAAACTCAATCCAGCCTTTGGAGAAACCCACTCTAAAGCCATGTTCTCACCTTCCTCACCAGGAATGCACTGAACTCAGCATCAGGCTCACTAGTTAAGGCAGATCTCTCCTAAAACACTGAGGGAAAAGGCAGTGTGGGAGGACAAGTGCCTTATTTAAATGACTGGACAGCAATAAAACTGGTGAACTTGGTACCACTTATAGCTTTGGTTTCTTTGAGTGCAGGGTGAGAGGTAAGAAGAAACATATAGGAAAGCAGCATTCCAAAATACAGGAGATACAGTAAGCTGGCAATGTGAACTCTGCAATGAGAATCTTTCAGAAAAACTTACAAAAGCTAGTCCACAGTAAATGGCTTAGAAACTATTATTGTTATCATAATATAGCTGGAGTAAAATTAAGGATTAGGTATGGTTATTTTGTAAAATTTCTCACCCTTTTGACTTAAGCTGCACTATTCAACTCCACAGTGCAGAATTTTCTGAATGGCAATGTCACTATTTGCTACAACATCACAGGCAAAGATTATAAATAATTTAGGAAGATATTCATTTGGCTGGGGAGTATCACTTAGCCTCTGTTTGCAAGGTATGAGTGAGCTTTCCAGACTACACAGGACTTGAGCTGCTTTTCTCTGAATGAATAATCCTCTCCCATCACACAAATAGAAGCACATCCCCTTCCAAATTAATGTGCTTACCTTATCTTTATTTTCAGAGTCAGAATCCTCAAGTTTGGTCCGAATGACAAAAGGAGTAGATAATCTCAGGAGAACTCGTTCAAATGTGGCACTGATTTTAGGAGAAACTATGTCGAAGCAGTCTTGGAATTTCAGGGTTTTATGAGTGTCACATCTGAGCTGCTTCCTAAGACCTTCTCCAAGCTGGAGAATCAGCATGTTTGGATCAAACATCAGGTGAAAGGGGAAAGCTCTGCAGAAGGTGCTGATGCTAATCCTCAGGTCTAAGGGGGACTGGGAAGTTCCTGGTGGAAGTGTTTTTGTTATATTTGCATTTTCATGTTCTTTGATAAGGAAAGTCAGACAACTGCAGTTACCTGGGTTGGTCTCCTCTGAACACAATTTATCATTTGTGACCTGCTCTACTTCCACTTCCAAGCGATAAATCTTCTTTGCTGCTGCTTTTATCATTCCCGTCATTGCAAATCCCACAATCTGATGTGGGTGAAAGTAATGAAGCATGAGATTGCCATCAGGGAGTTCTTTGCATAGGAAAGAAGGGGATTCCAGGGTGGCCTGTCTTCCAAATGAAGTTCTAATATGCTCCAGCAAAGCATCAAAGCCATTGAAGAAGTCTTGAAGGGTCCCACCTACAGCTCGAAGAACTCTTTCATTCTCATCAAAGCAAATATTGAAGAATTCCTCCCCAAACTTTTCTTGCATTTCCTCAAACTTCAGACCTATAGGACAATGAGACAGTGATATCAAAAACATAGTATTGTTACCATGTCACATTTTCCCTGTGTCCTCCATTTGCCCAGTAATTTTCCAAGTCAGTGAGAGTGGCATTTTCACTGGATACCTATGCATAGGTTTTCTGCGGTGATTGGGAATAACCCTAGAAGCCATTTTTTGCCTGTAATTTTAAGTCCTCATGCTTTCAGCTTGCTACCCCAGCCAATTATTTGTGGGCCTGTCCCCTTTTCCCTGCTGGAAGCCAGGATACATTACAATTTCCCTGACTTATGTATGTCACATGCAGTTCACGGCGTGAATGCACTCAGCCATGGGTGCCTCCTTTCCACTGCTAGCCACAAATGAGGTTTCTGCTTTTATAGCCCCTCTGGTCGCTGCATCTGTGAAGGATCCAGCTCTCCCCAGCTTGAAGAATAAGCTACTGAGACTCAAAGTCAGACCTTTGGCTTTCCATAAGCAATGTAAAGCCCTGCAGTCAGATGACACTTAATAGCTGGGGGAGGGGGCTTGTGAGTTTGGGGGGTTTTTTCAGACAAAATACTTTTGTCATTACAAGCATTGGACACTGCCAGAAGATACAAAGGGATAATTACTTCTTTTCATAAGTTCTTCTGTTGACTGCAAAGGAGAGCAAAGCCTTTCCATTTTGGGCTTCATCTTTAAAAATACCCCCACCTCTCAGAGTGATCTAAACAATTAGTAGATAGGACAGTCTTGTGATATCTTGTAATGTCACTTCAAGTTTCCATCAAAGAAATTCAAAAGGCTTTGATTTACAGAGGTGATAAGGCTGGCATTGCTGAAGAAATGAAAAAATATCAGTCATGCAAATGTGTATAAAATCCTGTTCCAATTTATTTACCATTTTAAGGATAGCCTGGAAAAAAAATTTGAGATCATTATTAAACATTTTCCTCTGTCATATTTAAAGGAAGACATGCTCTGTTGAGTTTTGTCAGTATCCCCATATCACAGAGTTACAAAATTAATCAGATATGTTTGTATTGTTTTAAGCTGTAATAGAATAAAAGAAGTATGAATGAGCAGTATGTGAATTACAAATATCCAGCAAGAGATTTCAAAGGAAATTAATATAGGAATTAACAACATACTTCCTTCAGTGTATTAAAATCAAATCTAATCCCATTTCAGTCAACTAGTCAAACACCTTCAAATTCATCTTGAATTCTAACAAAAATGAAGGGCAGTTATTTCTTTGCTAAGGGCACAACAGGCCTTTGCTTTAATATGTATTCAGCATACTTTATAACATTGGTAAGATCCCAGCGGATCACTGAATTTCTCATTGTTTAGATAGCCTGTAGGCTTTTAACTTGGGAAGAATAGTGTGATTAGTGACTTATGCCCAAGATGTATAACAGGAGACAGAAGAAGTCACGTGTCTGTTGTTTGCAGAGAGTACCTTTAATAATCTCAAGGCAGTGTCTGAACTGCCTATGCACACAGACATAGTTATAACAATCAATATTCACAAGGGATTTGAGTGTTCCCCAACTTTGCAATCTGCAATGATAGTTTTGTTCAGACCTTTCATATGATTAATAGCAGATTAAAATGCATAAAATTACATATATAAATATGGCAACATGAGAACATGACAAAGCATATTTTATAAAAGAAGTAATAGCAATAATTTGGGAAAGTTCATTCAAGTGCCATTACTCATAATCAAATTTGGTCACTAAACTAGCTTATTACAAAAATATTCCCAGGATCTTTTATGACCACAGATGGTCAGCTCTGGGCTAAGCCAAGAGAAAGTACCTCTGGTACACAATGACCCCTAATATCCTGACTCAGAAGACTGAGTGCCAATTCCTGACTCATTACCACTACGTCTGCATAACATGGTATTGTAGTATCTTCCACAAAAACACTCCTACAACCCAAAAATAACGAAATAATTAAACCAATAATTTCTTAACTGGGTATGAATAGCAATGACCTAAGAAATCATCATATTCATATGTACACACAAACAGATATTCATACTCTTAAATCTCATAGTTCTGTACAGTGAGCTGTGAGCAGCTTCAGAAGTCTGTGTGTAAAAATGAGCAATCTAGCAGGGGTACACCAGGCTGTAAGATTGCAGAGGCTCTGAAAGCATAGGAACAGGACAGTATCAGAACCCCCCGGGCTATAAATGACCAAACATATCCCACAAAGCTGCCCAAAATGATAGCATAGGTGAACTGTCTTTAAGGAGTATTATAAAATTACAGTAAGACAGTCAGTTGCCCTGGCGCCACTAACTGAAAATAAGGTTTGCAGGACTGATCACTCCTGTACTTTACTGCTGTATATGCAAGACTCACCTCATTATCATTAATGGGAATTGTAGCTCAGTATTTGGCCTAATGTTTTGCTGATCATCTTAGACTGGTCTTGTTGTCCACCCTGGAGGACTGACTATTCAATCTGGACACATCATACTGACTCCAAGCAACAAGAATTATTCTATGAAATTCAGGTAAATGGCCTGGCGTGAGGACACGACAGTGCTTTTAAAAATATTTTAGCTTTGAATTAAGTTACACACAAAGCCAGCAGAAAATTAGATTAGCTCTAATAGAAAAATGGGAATGACCAAACTTAACCAAACTACTGGTGGCTCTTAGTCAGGAATTTTCTCTCTAATAACAGACACTGTGAGATACTGAGAAAATTAGATGAAGTAAAACAACCCTCTAAAACAAGAAAGTATAGTATACCTACCAGGGACGTTTCTTCCAAAGCCTCACGAATAAGAGATTAATTTTTGCCTGAAGCATGATGTTTTTTCTTTAAATCAAAAATATTTATTTAATAAATTCCTCTTCTACAAACACACACAAACTACTTTTTCTGCATTTCTGTACAAAGCTACTGGCTTCAGTAATGTGTTTGTGTAAAGTTGCACAAAATATTTAATATGTAATTTTACTGACTTATTCCTGCCTCTCTTACTGAAACAAATGATGAACAGATGAACCTGGCATTAACTCTGTATATACTTCATCATAACCTCTTCTTTTACTACGATATAAATGTTCAGAATCTTTTGAGCATCTTCTGTGGATTTTCTACCTACCTATAGCTTTATATATTCCTGTTGTGGTCTAAGCCCAGCTGGCAACTAAGTACCATGCAATCGTGTGCTCACACCTTCCCCCACCAGTGGAATGGGGAGGAGAATCAAAAGTAAAACTTGTAGGTTGAGGTAAGAACAGTTTAATAATTGAAACAAAAGTAATATATAATAATAATAATGATAACAAAAGAAAAAATAAAACCCAAGGAACAACAAGTGATGCATAATACAATTGCTCACCACCTGCTGACCAATGCCAGACTCTGTCCCTGAACCCCAATCAGCCCCTGTCTGTTCCAGGTAACTCCTCCAGTTTATGTACTGGGCATGACATTCTGTGGTGTGGAATATCCCCCTTGGCCAGTCTAGATCCCAGCTATGCTCCCTCCCAGTCTTTTTGTGCCCCTCCTCATTGGCAGAGCATGTGACACAAAAGAAAGGTCCTTGACTTAGGATAAACACTACTTAGCAATAACCCAAATATCGGTGTGTTATCAACATTATTCTTATACTGAATCCAAAATGCAGCACTGTACCAGCTACTGAGAAGAAATTAACTCTATGCCAGACAAAACCAGGACAATGCCAGACTGGGAGATAGTTTTATTACATGTAGAAAAACCTGCTTGTTAAAAAAAAATCCCAGAACTCATTGCATACTTTATTACATTTGGAAACTTCAGGAGACTTCCACAAGCTAGTTGGTATGATTTCCAATTTCAGTGTGCTTGGTATCTCCTTTGTTTTTTCTTTTATTCTGAGAAAAGACAAAATCAAAATAGCTTTCTTTACATCCTTCAGGCTATACATCTGCATAAATGGTCCAATCTTTTCAAACTCATCTCACATTAATTTCTTTCTCTGTTTGATTTTGCAGCAGACGAATTCAAATTGAAGATGGCACTGAATATTTGAGTCAACTTCTGGTCATCAAAATTGACAATTTGCTATTCCTTCCTGAAAAGCTAACATTTCCATTCCTTCTTTTTCACTGTGGACCTCTAAGCAACATTTTCATTCAGCTGCCCAGACAAAAAAATAGTATTTGAGATCTATATGGGTACCCAGCATTTCCAAATGCAGAGGCCACTGCTCTCCTATATCACCTCATGTGTGATCCCAGTGACCACAGACAGGGCTTCCTAATGAGCTCTTGCTTGTCATTGTTAAGTAGGAAAAAGCCTTCCTTAGTTTCACCAAGACAATCCACTACATGGTAGTGATACAAAATCAACCAAAAATCATCCCAACACTTTCTGCTGTTCCCCAACTGAAGTAATTTGTTACTTTGCGCTTCTGCTATTTACGAACCTTTTACTAATATACTGAATAAAATTCTAAAAATTCATCAGTCTCAATTTGTTTTCCCCTTGGAAAGGGATCTACTGTGTTCCTACTACTTAATCCACTTCTTTGAGAGTACAAATCACATGTCTTAATTAGAACATTGTTTTCCTTAGTAGTTTCTTTTTGTTGTTTTTTTTCTAACAATGTCATTTTTACTCTAGCCCATACTGGAGAGAAATTAAATACGCACATTGCAGAAACAAATGGAGGCAAAGCAACCACAGAATGAAATTATTGCTATGGGCCTCCACTACAAAGCACTCTGGGATCTATGACAAAAGTACTATATCAGGCCTATTACTATTCTTAGAAAATGTGTCTCAAAGTCATTAAGAGAAGAGATCCTATAGTTGTGAGCCAGATACAAAATTACCAAAGTCTTTAAGCACAGGTTCAAAGTAAAAATTAAGTGTTTCACTGAACTGGAGAAGAAACCGATGACTTCATCCTGTAATAACATGCTAGTAAAAGGTCTTCATTTTCTTTTCAGCAGTTCCTGTAAACTGTGAACCCACTACAAAATGTCAAGGAATTAATACAGTA